ATATATCTTATATATAAATATATATAATAAATACACGCGCATATATATATATATATATATATATATATATATATATATATATGTATATATATATATATATATATATATATACATACAGATATATACAGATACAGGTATATATATATAAATATATACATTAAAAACATGCACAAACAAACTCTTACACACACATATATATATATGAATATATATATATATATATATATATATATATATATATATATATATATATACATATATATACACATATTAATACATATATACATACACACACACACATACACACACACACACATATATATGTAAATCTATCTATATATATATATATATTTATCGAGATGTATATATATATATACATAGATATAGATATACAAACGTATACATATACATACTCACACACATTTATAGATATATCTATCTATCTATTTATCTATATATAAGTAATATAAGTATATCAGTATATATATATATATATATATATAGGTATACACACACACACACACACTCAAACATATATATATATACATATATATACATACATATATATGTATATATATATGCATATATATATATATATATAAATACATAAATATCTGTGGTGATATATATATATATATATATGTGGTAATATATATATACATATGTATGCATATATGTACACACACACACACACACACACACACACACATATATATGTGAATCTATATATATATATATATTTATAGATATATATATATGTATATATACATATATATAGATAGATAGATATACAAACGTATACATATACATACTCACACACATTTTATAGATATATCTAACTATCTATTTATATATATATATATATATAGGTAGATACACACACACACACACATGCACACACACACACACACATATATATATATAAATACATAAATATCTGTGGTAATATATATATATATATATTTGTGGTAATATATATATACATATGTATGCATATATGTACACACACACACACACACACACATATATATATATATATATGTGTGTGTGTATGTCTGTTTGTATATGTCTATGTGTATGTAATGTATAAGTGTATCAATATGTAGATGTATGTTTATATACATTTATACGTCCATCAACATACTCACGCTAAATCTATACACCCCGCGCTACACCCCACCGTAGTTGTTTGATCAGAGTATATTTTATTTCCACTCGCACTTCTATTTGGCATCGACCTGTGTGTGTTGTACAGCCTCTTTCCTCAATAGTGCCACCATGAAGGGATACACAGGGGAAAACTCCTTGTCGCCCCGTTTCATGCAGGCATTGGTGTATGTATCTACGCTCCCTTGGATCACACCCAGCACTTCGCGATCGGGCCGCCCATCCATCCACTGTGCGTACTGTACCACAGAACACTGTGTATGCGATAGACAGGTGGGTCATGTTGCACGCGGTTAGATACTACACTTAATGTGTAGATACGTAGTAGTGAGGGTATGTGTAGATACGTAGTAGTGAGGGTATGTGTAGATACGTAGTAGTGAGGGTATGTGTAGATACGTAGAAGTGGGCGTATGTGTGTATCTGATCACCACTGGAGGGTCTATCTTCATCTGCGAGCACCTCGCGATTAGTCCACTATTCCCGCACTGCGCGTACTGTACCACACAACATGTGTGCATGCGACAGGCGGCTGTGGATTTTAAATGCATATACATACAAAGGCTAGCATATGAGGTATGGCGACGTTTGGAAATGTATATGTTAAATCAGCGTAGAAAGCTTGGTCTGGGGCTGCCACACCTCGAGATGGACTGCAGGTCTACTCTATTGGTCAGCTAAGTACCTATGAATCCTGTGATCCATGCGCAACTGTTGCGTTACCGGACCGTAACCGCACAATATATACAGGCACATTAGCTGATTGTTCAAAAGGGATTCTATACTGTTTACAGATATATCGACCACACCCCCTTCATTGAAACTCGATGCCACACAGCATACAGATCCAGATCAATTAGACTCAATCCGTGTCGTATATCGCCATGCCATCGACAGTTGCTAAACGTGACATACACATACAATGCATGGACACTGTGTAGACACATACACACATCATACCTGCATGAACGTATGCGGCGAAGGTATTGATACTACATACACAACCAATCCATTGATACGATATACACATACACACAGCATACCTGCATGAGCGTATGCGGCGAAGGCATTGATACTACATACACATACAATCCATTGATACGATATACACATACACACAGCACACCTGCATGAGCGTATGCGGCGAAGGCATTGATACTACACACATACAATCCATTGATACGATATACATATACACACATCACACCTGCATGAGCGTATGCGGCGAAGGCATTGTTTCCGGGGCTCGCGTGAAGAGATGGTGCAGTAGCACAATGGGATTCAGTTTCTGCAGTGTGCATCGCATGTAGAGAGAAGTATGGGAGGTTTAGTGAATAAAGCTGTGCTCAAACAAGCAGGAGCTGACGGATAGTATAGTTGTACCACCATCTGGCGTAGGGAAACACGAGCCAAGCGTGAGTATACACCACATAAGGTATACTGGACAATTAAGCAGGAATGCACGGTTGAATATTGCGGTACGACCATCAGTGCAGGAATGCACGCATGAGATAGGAACGTGCTTTCCACGGGCGTGGTCAACTACGCGGGAAGGAGAGATAATACACCTGTAACACCCATCTACTTAGTAAACCTTGACTGCAGAGGGAATGTCCATACTAGACTTTAAGCAGGAGGTCATGGGCAATATACCTGTACCACCATTGACGACAGATCCAGCTTGTCGGTCTCTAAGAATAGCATGGCTCTGACATTGCGGAGCTGCACATACGCAGCACCTAATTCATTCAACCGCTTGCCAGTCCGTTCCAACAACGGTGTTAACGCCTGGGAAATAGAAATAATTCGTGATAGAAGAAGAAGCAAGGCGTGAGTGTGCATAGTGGACGAGGGACATTTGGAAAGTGGAATAGTTCATTGAGTGTTGATAAAAACAGACAGTATACATACATATATGTATATATATATA